TTTTGCGACAGCTGCAAGTATGTGGAAATGTTATCCCAGTCAGTGACTGCCATCATCCTTAATGAGTGTCACACACAGGTGGCCCCTCAGCAGAGCTGTGATTAAAAGGTAATCATCTCATACCAGACTAGCTTGTTTAAACCCATGGATATGTATGTATGATAGAAGATTGTTGGAAATATTACTGGATTTTTCCAGTGCCTGTTGCAGGATTCCTGGTTTTAACTAACTTGATCACCAAGCAGAGCTACAGCAGCAGTGACCCTCTGTAACCGTAAGCCATATCTGTTTAATTTTTCAGTGGAGCCAGAGCGGGCAATGAAGAACTCAATGTGGCGGCTCACAGTCACAAGTCAGACACAACAAGCAATGAATGGAGGTCCCAGGAGAATCCCCCAGATTCAAAAGTCTAAGCAAAATGCTACTATGACACAGATACAACGAACCACAAGGTTTTCAATAATTCATGGTGTTGTAGGGAGAGAACACTGAGGAGAAAAGCAGCACATGGTTGGATGTAATTGACCAAAAACACGTAGACTATAAGCCACAACACTAGTTGTCTATTGTTTCAGCTGCAGATATTCACCACAAAAACCTCTGTTGCCTAGCTCACAAATAATGTAGGAGTCTCTCTTTGTGTGTCTTGAAATGCTGCCTCGCTGCGTTTTTATCTCACTCTCTCTTGCTTTTCCTCTTAATAGTGGATCAGATCAATACAGTTTGCCTCTGGCCCAGACCTTTGCACTAAAACCAATTGTTCCTGGAACTCTGTACGAGCAAAGCCCGCATGACTTTTCCGCGAAGCGTGTCTGGCTTTTGCATCTGGCGAAATGTGCTGCATTTAACATTTGCTTCAGTTTAAAAGAACACATGTTTATTTTGCTTAACGTCTTGTCATGGATGTGGACGACTTCTCAACTAACAGATAAGCTAGTTATATGTAGCCGGACAAATAATACAGCCTGGCTATTTGGAAAACCCTTAATATCAAATACCTCTTATTCAGTAAAGGACTAGATGTTACTTTCCCTGACAATGCATTGCTTTAATGCATCGTCTCATAAAGAACTTGATGAGAAGCGTGTTAGCATACACAGCACAGTAAGACTGTAGCCAGAAGCTGGTTAGCTTGGTTACTCCACCAAAAACAGACTCACACACATAACTTCACTTGAAGCCAATTTGCCTATTTTCCTAGATTAAAGAAAAGAAATTAATAGTGTTGAATGAGTTTAAGTTTCTTCCTGTTTTTCCAATCTTTATGCTAAGCTAAGCTAGCCAGATTCTCCGTTTAGCTTGTTATTTACCTCCAGTCACGTAGCTCTCAGCAGTGATCTCTCTCGGCGTTCATATATACCCAGATTGTTTGCAAGGATTTGATCCTGAAAACGAGTGACCCTTTTTAACCCACATTCAGCAGTGAGATCACAAAGCAGCTTGAACTCACTGCCTGCCAAACATCTGCTCTGAGACCAGACAGACACCGGATGTTACTGTGAGGGTAATGCAAACTAGTGAACTGTGTGAAATTGCAGAAAGTGCCTCTACAGTATACTGGATAATGCTGACTCATGCCATCTCTTTTTTCCTCTTTGGCACAAACACTGAGTAACCTGAGAGAGAGATAGTGATGAGTAATTCAGAAATTCAGAAACGAGGTTCCCCAGAAGAACATTGCCTCAAACCTCCTCTCTCTCCTTCTGTTGCTCCATTGTCTAGTTCTGAGACTCGTGTGGCCGCTGTAGGCACTTTCAGTGATGGATGCTACAGTATCTGTTGTCAGTTTGCCCCTCAGCAAACTGCGATGCACTGTGTGTTCTGACACCTGCACTATAAGGACAAAAGTATCTTAATTTTTTAATTCAAGGGCTTTTAGTCCCCACTTCCCACAAGTGGATAAAATCAAGCGCCTAGTCACGCAGCTTGCCTTTGCAAATATTTATGAAAGATGCATCATTCTAAAGAACTTGTGAATTCAACTCTGGTGCTGTAATAAGATGTTTGAAAAAATGTCTCATCTTCTTCATAATCCAAGTGGTATTATTGCAGAGTTAGTTAGTGAGCTCCCAGTTTGGATTTGGAAGACAGACACCCTCTCTCATTTTAAGATTAGGCTTAAAACTTTCCTTTTTGATGAAGTAAATAGATAGGGCTGAATCAGGTGAGCCTGGATTGACCCTGGCTTAGGCTGCTCCTTACTCACTATGTGTTTATACACCGCTCTGCAATTAATCATTGGCTATTATTAACCATTTTTTGCATGAATTATGACAACCTTAATCATTCTTTTCTTAAGTATTTTTCATCTTTAGGCATAAAAAAAGATTTTTGAACATCATTTTTTTAAACTTACTTTTCAAAGAGTTTTTTACATGTCCACTTAGGTGGACAACACTGGCTGACTAGTGGCATGGTATTTAGTGACACATCAGTGTCCAATGTAGTGGTTTATGTTCAAGTATACCATCAACACTGACAAAAATACAATACCTTTGAATAGCTGTCCACTGTTGTGACCACTATGCGTGAACGGGTTAATCTCTGGCTTACTTCCACAGTATGTCTTTGGTCTGGAGAGTTCTTCCTGTTAAAAGGGAGTTTTTCATATCCACTTTTGCCAAGTGCTTGCTCAAAAGGGGTCATCTGATTGTTGGGATTTTCTCTCTATTATGTAGGATCTTTACCTTACAATATAAAGCACCTAGAGGCGACTGTTATTCTGATATAAATAATATTGAATCTGCTCTTAACAGTCCATGTTTTGACCGTCACCTATGAACAGCTGCAGAATTAAGGCACTTTGAAATCGGGTGATTTGCCTTCTCAGCTTGGGCACCTAACTCACTCACTGGAGTCAACATTACACTTCAGTTAACATCACTGATGCAAACTGTGCTGCGTTTAACTAGTAGCATAAAATGACATATGTGTCACCATTTAAATCTTTTCATGATATCCAGATCTTTGTCCCAACAAGGATAAAAACAACGGCAGATGTAATTAGGGTAAACGAGAGGTAAAGGAGTGATTACACTGATCCATCAGCAATATAAATGCAGGGCCATCTGTTATTTTGTGGCCATGATAAAATACCTTTTGCTGCTTCTAATGTGAAATCTTTGGCACAGACATTTTGGACTGTTGTTGCTGATGTTGGGCTGATGATTATAAGCATTATTAACTGTCTTGGCTTCACATGCTCATGCAGCAAGGTACTAATTTTGTGAAGCTAGGCTCTTGTGGAAGACTATGATTACCTCCCAGACCTTAAGAAGGCATAACACGAGTGCTAATAATCGAAGAGAGCAGAGTGTCATTATAAATGAAAAAAAAAAAAAAAACATACAAAAAAAATCTCCCTCCTAGTCCTTTTCATTAGTTGACAGTTTATTCTCCAGTGAGAGGACTAAATAAGGACTGTGTCATTGGCTGCCGAGGCTAAATAGTTTGTGGGCCCAGCTGGTCAGTCACAAGGGAGAGAATTAAAGGCTAAAAATGGAAGCAATTTTCTTGCAAGATTAGCCTGCGAGGAAACTGAGAAAGATGAGTTTAATGAAGCTTTATGTCACAAAATTTACCCATTCGGTTATTTGGTGGTGGATTTCATCTTAATTTTAATTTGGTATTAAAGTCTTACGTTGTGATTAACATACAGCATTGTAATTACTTTGCAACACAGCAGAAAAAGAAATCAGGAGGAAGAGTTGGAAGCATAATAAACTTCCTGCACTCTGCATAAACGATTCAGAGCGAAGAGATTTTTATTGTGCTGATAAAAAGATTTCTATAAGTCAGTTATGTAAAAGTTTCTCTGGAACTGTATTTGTAAAATGAAAACCGTGCCCTCAATAGAGGCTTTCATTGTTTACTAAAGAGAGCCATCTACTGGAGAATAGCCTATATTGAACTGTATTCAAACAGATGTAAATTGCATAGTTTTTGGCTTTAATTTGGTGTTTTTTGAGTCAGATTCCACATAGAAAAATAAGAACAAACACACACGGTTATACTTGCTGCAAAATGAAAGACAAAACATATTATCCTTTCATCTGTGGTCCTTGTCCCAAACATCTGTGGCCCTTGTTTAGTCATTACTCTGACACAAACCAGTGATTAACTGGCTTTATAGTCATGCCAGTTCCTTTCCCAACCCATAACATCCTTGGCTCCTGGTTTTTCCACTAAAATGGAAATGAAGGATTGGCACTTTGCAGTAGATGATGTGACAGCGGCAACAGTTGTATGAAGGTCAGTGTGATAGAAATGCGTTTTACGGCACTTGCAACCTGAAAACCATGCATGGAACACACCATCCAGTAAAACATAATGGGCTATATCATGTGATATTTCAGGTTCTCAGGCTGTTCAAGTCAGCAGCATCCAGCGTGTGTCTATGTGGCTCTACATGTATTTGATCCCTGTGTTCTGTCTTTATACATAAAGTCCAGTACTGGATGCAAGTAAGCATCTAAATGAATGTGTAATAATAAAAAATATGACAACAAAAAAATAGCTATTCAGACGGTGCACTACCTCCCCGAGCTTTTCTCTCAATTCAATTGTGAAGAACCAATTCATCACACATACCGTTGCCCCTCTTTTCCCCTCTGGCTCATTTCCCCAAATAATTTAGGATCTACTGCCAAAGATGTTGGTGATGTGTTTGGAAAAATAAGCATCTTTTCAAGGTGATGATGACCCTCCCCGAGAAAAGGAAGGGAAGCCTCTGAAAATCCAATTATCCAAAGGCCTGCCTTTTTTTTATTGCCATCAGCAATGCTGGCCCATCAGCAGCATAGCAACTGTTTCCAACAATTGCCCCCACACTAATTCTATCGCTGTAGCCAGACTTGCCCAGGGTGTGGACATTAAGCTCAATTATCATCTAAAAGTGATTGCATGATGTCTGACAATGCAGTTGAGAAAATTGGGTGTTAAGGTATAAATGGGATGATAAAAGGAGGCAAAACTTGATTTGAGAAACGAAAAATGGGAAAACTTTTATTTTATTCATGCATGTAAAGCAAATGTTTTCACTTCCATTTAGTAAAATCTCAGACTGTTAACTGAAGAGTGGGTGCATTCAAATGTTGACATCACTACAGTAATTAATGAACAAGAATAATTAATGACAATGTTAGTAATTTAGATACTTTAAGCAATAAGGGACCAGCAAAATGATGAAGGCAAAGAATAGACAAATACAGGACTACAGGCTATGAAACCATCACTGGTGGACGTACATTTGACAGAACTTACTCCTTATAGGACATATAACATAGATTATATACTATAACTTACTCCAATCACTATTCCTCCAACGCGAACATAGAGCAATTTATTTAAACATATCCAAGTATACATGGAAATACAGTATATAAGGCAAAAACAGAACTTTTGAAGGTCAATATTTGCATGACCATCTTTATTCTTTAACACAGCCTGAACTCCCTTTGGCAGTTTCTTTAAGTAGTCTTCAACAATAGTTCTGCAGGGTTCTGGAGGACAGTGGCTCTGGGGTTATTGTCATGTTAGAAATTGAAGCCATTGCCAATCAGATGGTGCTGCATGGTGAATCCAAACCTGAAAGCGTTATTCTGTGGTCATGATACCATAAATTTTAACAAGATCTCCAACATCACTGGCAGAAATGCAACCCCAAACCATGACAGAGCCTCCGCCGTGTTTTATAGATGACTGTCGACACTGTCATACCGCTCTCCTGACCTCCTCTGTACATACTGATGATAATTTGAATCAGAAATTTTGATTCATCACTCCATAAACTCTTGCTCCTGATTTTCAGTGAAGTTTTTGTGTACTTTGGCATCGATCACTATTTTCTCCCTGTTTGAATAGCTTATTGAAAGCCACCCTTCCACTGAGACCACTTCTGATAACCCATATGGAAAAGATATATATAAATCTTATAAAGTTTGTGTCTGTCTTGTGTGAAACTTGTATGAAAAGCATACAAGAGTAAAAACAGATATAAGATCCCTTGAAAAATTATATAATGAAACTTGTATGTTTTGGATACTTACTAAAACAATATATGAAAGTCAAAGGAGTTTACCGGAAGCCAACACACACGGACCAGTACCTCCTGTTTGACTCCCATCACCCTCTGGAACACAAACTTGGAGTAATTAGGACCCTACACCACCGGGCAGAACATGTTCCCTCTAAGCCTGAAGGGAAAAAGAAGGAACACACACATG